ATATTTATAATTTTGACAAAGGCATATAATACATGTACATGTATTATATGTTATGTCTCTGATTTTGATCAGAATTTCAAATCTTTCATTATTATACTATTTAGATCACGGTATGTATGAGATTACCCCGATTTTTTGCAAGGATGATCAGTCTTGTTTTCTGTGTTGTGTCTTTGTGGACTGTTGTGTCTTTTCGTCGGTTTTCGCGGAATTAAGGATTAAGAGCAAAGACTGGTCGGCTCGGAGTCAGAATAATGTGTCCGGGTAAGGTGACTGTCTTCCTGCGGACTGTTACCTTGTGAACTAGCACGTTAAAAATCCGGCTCAGCGTGTCCGGCGGTCTAGTACAAAGCAGGGTTAATATTCATATTACATTAACAAGTTCTCGTCCTGGATATGCATATTAATTTGCCGCTGGACGTTAAGCAGCCATCCATCATCATCATCGTCGGTTTTCGTTTTCGACATGGCGTCGGTTTCTCTTGACTTACAAGTTTTTAAGTGTCCCTTTTTGTATCTTCCGCCTCTTATTATATTTTTTTTTTGTATTTTGCCGTTGAATGTGTACTGTATGCGTATATTTGGTTGAGGGTCTCAATGAAAATTAGATGACATCACAGAAAAAGGCAAACAAGATCGTGTCGCCGAGTTTTTGTATCATAACTTGACAAACCTACAGTACTTCCCGACACCCCCATCATGCAGTACTATAAACCAAACAATCATTATTAAAAAAAATCAAATTAAAACGTATACAAATGCCAGATCGAAATCAATAGTCCAGGTAAATCCCCGTTCACAGGATTCGCCACCGTTGCGTCGAATATTTTGCGTCGGAAACAAAATGCTTTAGAAATTTCACAGAACAACCCAATTGGAAATTTTCATTTCTACGTAGCAAAATTCTAGTAGCTCTTGTATATGGAGTATATATCTCCTAGTTGGTCCCGGTCGCCCCCCCCCCCCCCCCTTTTACCCCCTATTTTTGGGCCACAAAATTATGATGTACCTACTGAAAGGTAAAACACGTATTTCTGTCAATTCAGTTCCGTCATACATAAAATTTGATTCTAATTGTGCGCATGCGTGTTAAGTTTTTACAGCGGTACATTTGAATGACAGGTGTTTACAAATATTGTTATTGTTGAAAAGGGTGTGTATTTGAGTTAGGATAACACAGTCATGCTTTATAACTGAAAAACATTTATTTCTTCCTAAAAACTGGCTGTAGCTTAAATTAAAAGTACAATTTCGACGGTTTTCTTTTATCTTCTGCAGAATTTTACACAAATTATATGTCCGTCAAAAGGTGTAATTTTCATATTTACTCACTTATGCTGGAAGGGAAAACATGTATAGTGTTACACTTAAGTTAACACTTAAGTTATAGGCAATCAACTCGTACCACTGATGCCTTCTTCCTTTAACTCTACATAATTGCAATCAAGGAAATACCCTCTGATCAAAATATAATTAGGTCGGTTCTTGTCCCCAAAACGTGAAAGAGGTATAAAGAAACGTCAAACTTTTCTGAAATTCCCTAGGTATCGGCTATTTGAAAAAGGCTCACATTTTTCATGTTGTGTTTAGCATTTTGTAATATTTTAAATATGACGGAAGAAAACCGTGCGCTTGAAAGTAATACTTAACGAAACACCTAATCCTTTTAAAAAATGTTTGCAGTGAACAAAGCCCACAGAAAGTCGATAAAAAGGGGGCTCTTCTCCCTGTGAGTATCTACCAACGTTTTTTAAGTGTCGATACCTACTAACAACCTCTACTGTTTTGAATAAAAGATATGCTGTAAAAGTCTCAGACAGAGTCAGTAATTGACACTCGACATGCACTTTATGATTTATGATAAAAGAGATGATTTTTCATTTCCTATCCTTAATTATCCATTTTTAGATGGTGACGTTCCCTTGTCACCATCTTATGGTGTTTATATATCCCAACTTGTACGATTCGCTCGTGTATGTAACAACGTATTAGATTTTAGCGAGAGAAATTTATGTATTACTGAAAAATTATTACACCAGGGTTTTCGATATCATAAACTAGTCAAAACATTTACTAAATTTTATCATCGGTATAAGGACATCATTCGTAAATATAACTCAACATGCAGACATCTTATACATACGTTCGGGTATTTCACATCCAATCTTTTATGGTAATATTCTTTACAATGCTCAAAAATGTCAGTATTCACCTCAAAAGCTAACAAAACCTTTAAACAGACTTATTAAGAAGGGATATAGTTACGATACTGTTGTCAGGTCATTAAAGATTGCATATTTTGGCTTTAATATTGATTCACTTATAGGGTCTTTGCATCGGAATTAAACACATTTATTCTAAAACCAGTTGTTGGCATGACACGGGTTATGTTCTTCTCATATATTTTATGACGGTATAATACTAAACCCCTTACAGGAGGGATTGTGCCTGATATTCATATGATGAAGACATAATCTTTCAATCAGTTTAATTGAGGTCTGGAGCTGGCATGTCAGTAACTGCTAGTAGTCTGTTGTTATTTATGTATTATTGTCATTTTGTTTATTTTCTTTTGTTTCCTATTCTGACATAGGACTCGGACTTCTCTTATACTGAGTTTTACTGTGTGTACTGTTGTGCGTTTGTTTTTTCTACATTGGCTAGAGGTATAGGGGGAGGGTTGAGATCTCATAAACATGTTTAACCCCGCCGCATTTTTGCGCCTGTCCCAAGTCAGGAGCCTCTAGCCTTTGTTAGTCTTGTATTATTTTTAATTTTAGTTTCTTGTGTACAATTTGGAGTTTAGTATGGCGTTCATTATCACTGAACTAGTATATATATTTGTTTAGGGGCCAGCTGAAGGACGCCTCCGGGTGCGGGAATTTCTCGCTGCATTGAAGACCTGTTGGTGGCCTTCTGCTGTTGTCTGTTCTGTGGTCGGGTTGTTGTCTCTTTGACACATTCCCCATTTCCATTCTCAATTTCATAGTATATAAATCATCTTAGGGAACAACAATTTAACTCGGAAAGAAGGGGAGGGGGGTATGGTTTTTCTCTAAAAATATTCTGTTTCCCAACTTTGAAGCAATAAATATTTTGATCAAGCAGAAGAAAAAAATATGTTTCTGATTGAGAGTTATTGACTTTAAATTTAATGTTAAGTTTTTAAATTTTGTTTCGAGCATGAAAAAACAATAATTTGATGAATGTTTGACCAGAACGAAAAATTTCAGAATGAAAAAAACCCACCTCCCCCTCGGAAGTTAAATGGTCGTTCCCTTACGGGCACGATATAGTAGCAAGGGCAGATAATAATGCATCCACATTTAACGGGTTGTTTTTGCAATGTTGCTAATGATAAGCATCCAAAATTCGCGGAAAAATCACCAACGGTATCAAACCGGTAACATGGATTAAGAAGTATTTGCAAAGGAAAACGAAGATAATGTATATTTAAGCACTTGAAATCTAGTGCGGGTGCATAAGATTTGAAGCAAATAAAGACTCTTTACTTTTTATCATCAATAAATTCGTATTAAACTAGGTTTTCTATTTCTAGCTTTGAAAATGCGCACATGGTACCCCTTTTTCTTTTGCAATGGACTATGTTCTGCTTCAGGAATGTTATATCGAAATTGCAAGAAAAAAATCAACGGATTTTTTGTTGGTATTTGTTTTTGCGAGAAAATTGTCTACGGGTTTTTTCTTACCATAATTGTATGATTTCACAAATATTTAATCGCATGTTGCCTTCATTTTAGGGACTTACTTAAAGGCCTATAAATTGATAATATAAGGAACACTTCGCAAAAAACGGATGAAAATATCTCTTTCCGTTTGAATGTTGTGTTATTTTTTCGGAAAAGTATTGAAAAATGAAATTTTGTATTTTAAAACATGCATATTTCCAGCTGAATTATCTCGAAAGTAATTCATGGAGGTATACTTTTCTTTGCCAATCTCAGTAGTGCATATCAAAATCATACAATTATTGGTAATGAGAAACCCGTAGACAATTTTCTTGCCAAAACAAATGCAAAAAGAAATCTACCGCTTGATATGCGGTATAGGTTCTGCTCATTGTTGAAGGCCATACGATGACCTATAGTTGCTAACCTTCTATGTCATAAGGTCTATCATAATGGTGGAAAGTTGTCTCATTGGCAATCATACCACATCTTCTCATTTTATATATATATGTGTCAAAATCTTAAGGAAAAATCAACGAGTGATCTTTTCTGTATCGTATGCTCTTAAAGAATGCCTTTTGAAAATGAGATTTTATGAAAATAACAACAAAGCTCTAAAACACAAGCTGCATGACGTAATTATTACAGACACTTAAATCCTTATTTCTGAAGCAGAAGAAAAATGATTATTTCCTGATCATCTGAAAATATTTATGATCCCTCCAAACGAAAATAAAGACTCTTAATGTGTACAGCCATCATTTGAGTCTTTACTAAATATTTTCGCCTTGTTTGGTTTCTTTTTTACTGCTGCGTAGATATTTTATCTATTTCTATTTTTCTAAGTTTGAATTGAAAGACGTACGTTCAAAAGACAATTTTATAAAAAACACACAAACAATTAATTATTAGACGTTATATTTACTTTGGTTGGCCAAAGTTTGGTTAAAACATCTATTCCAGTAAAATCGATCAAGAATTTTATATATTAATAGTAATTATAGCCAATAATTATGACTGTGGTGGTTTGATTTGATCGCACTTTATGATCAGGTAATAAGAGCTGTAATGAAATATTACCACTTTTCATCTTTTTTTCTGTCATAACGACAGAATGGTATAACAAACACATAGGAAATCGGCTTTTTATACCAGATAACATTTCTTTCAAAGAGATGATAATTACAGAAAGTTAATTATGCCACTTTTAACTTGTTTCTTCAATTGACTGTTCTCAAATTGCTTTTACTGATTTGATGGCTAAATAATGCTTCTTATGTGAACAATCGATAAACAAAAGGACGAGCAATCTGGTCATGAATTGAGGCGTTAATCAATGTACAATTACTTGTACATAAATAATTGCATTGTAGATAGCGTGACCTAACACTATACAATTATCACCCAACATCATCATCGCTATTGTTATTGTTTGGTTGACAGGTGTACAACATGGCAGGACTAACTGCTCAAGGAAGAGATTTGGGAGCTAGAGTCTCTAGTTTATTTGAAATTCCTGATAAAAGATTGGCAGCCATTGGCTCCAGTATAACTTCTTATGCCTGTGATCCAAGACTCTCTGAGGATACTGGAAGACCAGCGAAGAAGGTATTTAAAATTCACCTTATTCATTTCATTTTGTGGTCTACTATTTTCCCCCTTTTTAAAACAGTAACTGCGAAATATATACTTTTGAGTGGGATGGTGACAAAAAGGGATTTATGTATTATACCGGTAGTATAAATATAACAATAATTAACGTTCTTGAGATTTTCACAAGACGTCAGCCGGATAGGAATGTTTATATTTCTTTTAATTTTTACACATATTTGATGTAGGTCTCCAAACTTCGTTCAGATGTAAGAAAAAACCGCAAAAGGCCTAATTTGATGGTTTATTGTCGCTATTTAGAAACGAGTAACAACACAAACCAAAACAGATAGTTAGCAACAAATTGTCGTATACAAAAATGTTATTGGGAGAAAAGTATCTTTGTTGGGTTTGTGCTCATACTCGTAAAAGCATTGTGGAAAAAGACCACTTTTGGTCAATTTGACAATTTCGAATGAATAAAAGGAGATGTGGGGTATACTTCAATGAGACGACAACCTAACGACAAAAACAATCAAGACAACTAGAGAGCAACAGACAATCGTCAATAATAGACAGGTATTTATGAGAATTTGTCAGGTTCTAAATCGCCCCGCGTTTAAAAATGTTTTGTATAAATATTATAGAGACTATCAAAATCTCTGACATCTACCATATCCTCTTGAGGTTAACAAATTGATATGATATGACCTTAGACAACTACTAACGAAAGTACTGACAGACACATCCATGTCATTATTACATATCACGGGAATAAACTAGATCAGTGGAATAACAGTAGGACCCAGCTGTTCATCTCTCTAGGTGGACTAGTTTCTAGGGAAAGTTGATCAGTAGAATAACAAAAGGTGAATTAGTTTTGTGAGCACTCGATCAGTAAAATTACAAAAGGCGATTTAGTTCTGTGAGCTCTCTATCAGTAGAATACCAAAGGATGAACATGTTTTGTGAGCCCTCCGTCAGTAGAATAACAAAAGGTGAACTAGTTTCGTGAGCATTCGATCAGTGGAATAACAAAAGGTGAACTAGTTTTGTGAGCTCTCGATCAGTAGAATAGCAAAATATGAACTTGTTATGTGAGCCCTCGATCAGTAGAATAACAAAAAGTGATCTAGTCTAGTGGGTTCGATCAGTAGAATAACAAAAGGTGATATAGTTTTGTGAGCTCTTGATCAGTAATATAACAAAGAATGAATTTGTTTTTTGAGCCCTCGATCAGTGGAATAACAAAAGGGGAACTAGTTTCGTGAGCACTTGATAAGTAGAATAACAACATGTGAACTAGTTTCATGAGCATTCGATCAGTAGAATAATAAAATGAGGACTAGTTTCGTGAACACTTGATCAGCAGAATAACAAAAGGTGAAATAGTTTCGTGAGCCCTGGATCAGTGGAATAACAAAAGGCGAACTAATTTCGTGAGCACTCGATAAGTTGAATAACAAAAGGTGACCTAGTCTAGTGAGCATTCGATCAGTTGAATAAGAAAAGATGAACACGTTTCTTGAGCACTCGATCAGTAGCATACCAACAGGTGAACTAGTTTCGTGAGTACTCGATCAGTAAAATAACAAAAAAGAACTAGTTTTGCGAGCATTCGATCGGTAGAATTACAAAAGGTGAACTATTTTTGTGAGCACTCTTATCAGTAGAATAACAAAAGGCGATTAAGTTTTGTGAGCTCTCGATCAGTAGAATAACAAAAGGCGAACTAGTGTTGTGAGCACTCGATCAGTAGAATAACAAAAGGCGAATTAGTTTTGTGAGCTCTCAATCAGTAAAACAATAAAAGGTGAACTAGTTTCGTGAGCACTCAATCAGTAGAATAGCAAAAGATTTACTTGTTTTATGAGCACTCGATCAGTAGCATAACAAAAGGCGAACTAGTGTTGTGAGCACTCGATCAGTAGAATAGCAAAAGGTTAACTTGTTTTGTGGAGACTCAATGAGTAGAATAACAATATGTGAGCTAGTTTTGTGGGCATTCGATCAGTAGAATAACAAAAGGTGAACTAGTTTGTGAGCATTCGATCAGAAGAAGAACAAAAAGTGACCTAGTCTAGTGAGAATTCGATCAGTAGAATAACAAAAGGCGAACTGGATTTGTGAGCACTCGATCAGCAGATTAACAAAAGGTGAACTAGTTATGTGAGTACTCGATCAGTAGAACAACAAAAGATGAACTAGTTCTGTAAGCACTCGATCAGTAGAATAACAAAATGGAAACTAGGTTTTTTTAGCACTCGACCAGTAGAATAACAAAAGAGGAAATTGTTTTCTTAGCCCTCGATCAGTAGAATAACAAAAGGTGAATTAGTGTTGTGAGCACTCGATCTGTTGAATAACCAAAGGCAAACTAGTTTTGTGAGCTCTCGATCAGTAGAATTACAAAACACGAACTTGTTTTGTGAGCCCTCGATCAGTAGAATAACAAAGGGTAATCTAGTCTATTGAGCACTCGATCAGTAGAATAACAAAAGGCGAATTAGTTTTGTGAACTCTCAATCAGTAAAACAATAAAAGGTGAACTAGTTTTGTGAGCACTCGATCAGTAGAATAGCAAAAGGTTTACTTGTTTTGTGAGCACTCGATCAGTAGAATAGCAAAAGGTTAACTTGTTTTGTGGAGATTCAATGAGTAGAATAACAAAATTTGAGCTAGTTTTGTGGGCATTCAATGAGTAGAATAACAAAAGGTGAACAAGTTTTGTGAGCTCTCGATCAGTAGAATAACAAAATATGAACTTGTTATGTGAGCCCTCGATCAGTAGAATAACAAAAAGTGATCTAGTCTAGTGGGTTCATTCAGTAGAATAACAAAAGGTGATATAGTTTTGTGAGCTCTTGATCAGTAATATAACAAAGAATGAATTTGTTTTTTGAGCCCTCGATCAGTGGAATAACAAAAGGCGAATTAGTTTTGTGAGCTCTCAATCAGTAAAACAATAAAAGGTGAACTAGTTTTGTGAGCACTCGATCAGTAGAATAGCAAAAGGTTTACTTGTTTTGTGAGCACTCGATCAGTAGAATAGCAAAAGGTTAACTTGTTTTGTGGAGACTCAATGAGTAGAATAACAATATGTGAGCTAGTTTTGTGGGCATTCGGATCAGTAGAATAACAAAAGGTGAACTAGTTTGTGAGCATTCGATCAGAAGAAGAACAAAAAGTGACCTAGTCTAGTGAGAATTCGATCAGTAGAATAACAAAAGGCGAACTGGATTTGTGAGCACTCGATCAGCAGATTAACAAAAGGTGAACTAGTTATGTGAGTACTCGATCAGTAGAACAACAAAAGATGAACTAGTTCTGTAAGCACTCGATCAGTAGAATAACAAAATGGAAACTAAGTTTTTTTAGCACTCGACCAGTAGAATAACAAAAGAGGAAATTGTTTTCTTAGCCCTCGATCAGTAGAATAACAAAAGGTGAATTAGTGTTGTGAGCACTCGATCTGTTGAATAACCAAAGGCAAACTAGTTTTGTGAGCTCTCGATCAGTAGAATTACAAAACACGAACTTGTTTTGTGAGCCCTCGATCAGTAGAATAACAAAGGGTAATCTAGTCTATTGAGCACTCGATCAGTAGAATAACAAAAGGCGAATTAGTTTTGTGAGCTCTCAATCAGTAAAACAATAAAAGGTGAACTAGTTTTGTGAGCACTCGATCAGTAGAATAGCAAAAGGTTAACTTGTTTTGTGAGCACTCGATCAGTAGAATAGCAAAAGGTTAACTTGTTTTGTGAGCACTCGATCAGTAGAATAGCAAAAGGTTAACTTGTTTTGTGAGCACTCGATCAGTAGAATAGCAAAAGGTTAACTTGTTTTGTGGAGACTCAATGAGTAGAATAACAAAATGTGAGCTAGTTTTGTGGGCATTCGATCAGTAGAATAACAAAAGGTGAACTAGTTTGTGAGCATTCGATCAGAAGAAGAACAAAAAGGGACCTAGTCTAGTGAGAATTCGATCAGTAGAATAACAAAAGGCGAACTGGATTTGTGAGCACTCGATCCGCAGATTAACAAAAGGTGAACTAGTTATGTGAGTACTCGATCAGTAGAACAACAAAAGATGAACTAGCTTTGTAAGCACTCGATCAGTAGAATAACAAAATAGAAACTAGGTTTTTTTAGCACTCGACCAGTAGAATAACAAAAGAGGAAATTGTTTTCTTAGCCCTCGGTCAGTAGAATAACAAAAGGTGAACTAGTATTGTGAGCACTCGATCTGTTGAATAACCAAAGGCGAACTAGTTTTGTGAGCTCTCGATCAGTAGAATTACAAAACACGAACTTGTTTTGTGAGCCCTCGATCAGTAGAATAACAAAGGGTAATCTAGTCTATTGAGCATTCGATCAGTAGAATAACAAAACGTGATATAGTTTTGTGATCTCTGGATCAGAAATATAACAAAAAATGAATTTGTTTTGTGAGCCCTCGATCAGTTTATAACAAAAGGGGAACTAGTTTCGTGAGCACATGATAAGTAGAATAACAACATGTGAACTAGTTTCATGAACATTCGATCAGTAGAATAACAAAATGCGAACTAGTGTTGTGAGCACTTGATTAGTAGAATAATAAAAGGCGAACTAGTCTAGTTAGCACTCGATCAGTAGAATGGAAAAATGTTAACTTGTTTTGTGAGCACTCGATCAGTAGAATAGCAAAAGGTTAACTTGGTTTGTAAGTACCCGATCAGTAGAATAACATATTGCGAACTAGTTTTGTGAGCACTCGATCAGTTGAATGGCAAATGGTTAACTTGTTTTGTGCGTACTCGATCAGTAGAATAACAAAAGGTTAACTTATTTTATGAGCACTCGATCAGCAGAATAACAAAAGGTGTACTAGTTTTGAGAGCACTCAATCAGTAGAATAACAAAAGGTGAACTAGTTTTGTGAGCACTCGATCAGTAGAATAACAAAAGGTGAACTAGTTTTGTGAGCACTCGATCAGTAGAATAACAAAAGGTGAACTAGTTTGTGAGCATTCGAT